CAGCATGTTCCGCACGCACGCGGCGCGGGAGAGCACGACGTAGAGGCGCAGCCACCACCGGTCGTCCGACATGCCCGCGCGGCCAGCGCCCTCGCCCCTCGCGCAGTCGATGGTGACGCCCTTGCGCAGCGTCTGCCCCTGCGACAGCGTGGAAGTGAGGTAGGACACGCGAGTCAGAGTGAACCCCGAGCTGCGCACGGCGCGCGGCCCCGAACTCTGCCACGTGAACTCCTGCTCGCCAGGCCTGAACATCAGCAAGCTCCGAGCCCGCGCCTCGGCCTCGCGGCGTTCAACGGCGCCTTCGGCGCCCGGCAGCAGCAGCTCGGCGACCTCCTTGTAGATCGGGGACTCCTTGAAACCGTGGACCTGCAGTCAGATTCCCTTCGGTAGGTAGCGGGGGCGAAAGAGCTGGCCCAGCGCGCACTCCTCGTCGCCCCGCTCGTCCTCGCGGTGGAACTCGAAGGACACGATGGTGGCCCGTTGCTCCTGCACGAACTCAAACTTCTTCTTCATCCCCCCCTGCACTGCCGTGAATCGCACCTCCACGCCGACGGCAAGACGCCGTGGATGTCCCACGTCTTGTCATGTTCGGGACGTTCAGGAGGCGCCGACCCGCGTCGGGATCGCCCTGAATCGCGCCGCGCTCGTCAACGGCCTGCAAGAGTACGAGGGGCGCGCCCAGGCGCCGCGCGTCGCGACGAGCGCGCGCGTTGATCAACCTCGCCAGCGTCTCCCAGTAAATGCCCATGCCGTAGCCGAGCCGAAAGTTCTCGTGCTGGCGCCGAGGGCCCAGGAGGCCGCGGTTGTCCGACGCCAACGTCTTCTCCCAGGAGGACCAGACCTCCGGTGGGAAGGGCTTGCCCTCGCGCGTGCAGCCCAGGAACGTGATCAGAGGGTCCCCGGGCTCGAAGCGCTTCGTGCCCTTCAGCTCGAAGACGCAGGGGATATGAGAGAAGACCTCGATGGCGTGCTGAATCTCCACCGTCGGCGGCCCCGCGCACTTGTACGTGCGCCCGTCCTCCAGGCGCTCGTTCACGCCCATCAGGAGGCCGATGCTGCCGGTGGGCTTTAGCTGCAGGAAATCGCCGAGGTGCAGCACGATGGGGGCGCGCCCGATGTGGTGGCGCGGCCGCTTGTAGGTGGACTCCTGCACGTCGTGCGTGTCACTGCGTCCATGGCAGGCGCTAAGGTCCAGCGCGTTGTACAGAGCTGCCGCGACCATGCCCCCCTCCTCGATGACCAGAACGCGGACGTGCTCCCACGGCCACTTCAACCTCTTCTGCATGCCCCCCGGCCTCATCTTCGCGTTGATGTACTTGTGGACTCAAGGCCCGGACACGAGGGGCTCCCCCTGCGCCCGGCCGCTGTCTCGTCGTCGTCGTCAGCACCTCAGTCGCCCCTTTGGGCACGCAGGTCCATGACAACAACAAATTTGCCGACGGCCCGCACTTCGCTCACAGACGAAGCTCCCGCCTGATACTTCTACTTCCCCCGCTTTCTGGCCGCAGGAGCTGAGGAGCCCTTCCTCCGGATTCACGCCGCAGGAGCTGAGGAGCCCAAAAAGTGACGAAAGTCACAGGAATCCGACGACCCGCTCGGGTTACCAACATAAAGTGCGGGACCCGTCATGGCGGAGAGTCGCCGCGCAGGGCGCTGGAGGCTTAAGTTTTGGCCCAAAAAGCGGGAGCCATAGGGAGGGGGCTCCCGCCTGAGATTTCCCCACAATTCACTCACAGACGAGGCTCCCGCTTGATACTTCCCCCAAATTCAAGCCTGAGGAGCCCAAAAGTGACGACAGTTACACGTTTCGGATGACCCGCTCGGATTACCAACATGAAATGCGGGACCCATAAGGACGGGGCTCCTGCCTGAGACTTCCTCACACTTCACTCGCAGACGAGGCTCCCGCTTGATACATCCCCAAAATTCAATCCTGAGGAGCCCAAAAGTGACGACAGTTACACGTTTCGGATGACCCGCTCGGATTACCAACATGAAATGCGGGACCCATAGGAAGGGGGCTCCCGCCTGAGACTTCCTCACAATTCACTCACAGACGAAGCTCCCGCTTGATTCTTCCCCAAAATTCAAGCCTGAGGAGCCCGAAAGCGACAATAGTTGCACGTTTCGGATGACCCGCTCGGATTACCAACATGAAGTGCGGGACCCATAGGGAAGGGGCTCCTGTCTGAGACTTCCTCACAATTCACTCACAGACGAAGCTCGCGCTTGAGACTTCATCAATATTCTAGCTAGGAGGTGAGTGGTGATGAAGTCATGAGTGAGTGAGTAGGTGATCGAGTGATGATGATGGTGACGATGATGAAGATGATGACGATGATGACGAGTGATGCTGATTGATGATGATGATGATGAGGATGATGATGATGATGGTGGTGATGATGATGATAATGATGATGATGACGATGATGATGATGATTGATCGAGTAATGATGATGTTGTTGATGATGAGGATGATAACGGTGTGAGTGTGAATGAGTTTGATGATTATGATGATGGTGACGATGTTGAGGATGAAGATGAGTAGTGACGATGAGTGATGATGATGATGATAATGCTGATGGTGAGTGAAGGGGAGAGGGGTGGGAGGTGAGGTGAGGTGAGGTTCCTGCGCGAGGTGTCCAGAGAAAACAAGAACCCCACTTTGGATGTGGGGAACAATTATATTTGGATGGACCCCCCACCCAATTTTCCTCCCTCCCCTCTCTGACGTTCCCTTCATGTGCAGTGAATATCCTCTTCATCCTCCTCCTCCTACTTCCTCCTCCTCCTCCTCATTCCTTTTCCTTATAAATAACTTCTCCCTGTCGCACCCCGAAGCCAATATTTCGGGCAGGCCGGGCGTCTCGCCTAAAACTTCCTCACCACTTATGACTCTGAAGCTTAAAAAGTGGCAACAGTTTCACCAATGGAGGGCGGGTGGTTTTCAAAATGTGGCTCTCGCACTAGCACCGCGCACATTCGTTCTGAAAAAATCGCAAGAGCTTCACTGATTGAGGGCGGGTCGTTTTCAAAATGTGGCTCTCCTTTTGGCGCCGCGCACAATCGTTGTAAAAAATGCAAAAGTTTAACGGATTGAGGGCGTTTCGATTTCAAAATGTGGCTCTCGCCTTAGCGCCGCGCACATCCGTTTTGACAAATTGCCAGAGCTTCACGGATTGAGGGCGGCTCGTTTACAAAATGTGGCTCTCGCCGTAGCGCCGCGCACAATCGTTTTAAACAAATGTAAGAGTTTCACGGATTGAGGGCGGTTCCTTTTCAAAATGTGGTTCTCGCCCTAGCACCGCGCACATTCGGTCATAAAATTTGAAAGAGTTTCACGAATTTCCATGGTAAACGTACCAGAAATGGCATCCTGGAACGATTCAGGATTACGCGGGTGCAACAGTTATGTTGATTCGCAATGCTGAAGTCCCGGGAATGGCGTTCTTGCGCGACTCCAGATCGTCAAGACGCAGCAGTCAGGTTGATCCGTGGCGTTGAAATCCCGAGAACCATGTTTTGGCATGCTTCAGGGTCTTCAAGGTTGTCTTCCAACGAGGCAAACCCCTCAATGGAAATGAACCGTTGTAGGGGCTTATGAAGAGGGAGTTTGGAGGAAGGGTTAATTCAAACATCGTTGATGATTATTTGGTTTGCACTGGTCATCCTCCTCCTCTTCCTCCTCTTCCTCCTCTTCCTCCTCCTTCTCCTCATCCTCATCCTTCTCTTCTTCCTCCTCCTCCTCCTCCTCCTCCTCTTCCTCCTCCTCCTCCTCCTCCTCCTCCTCCTCCTCTTCCTCCTACTCCTCCTCCTCCTCCTCCTAGTCCTCCTCCTCCTCCTTCCTCCTCCTCTTCCTCCTCCTCCTCATCATCATCGTCATCATCATCAGCATTCGACTCCACCTCCCTCTATTCCCCCCTTATCTCCTCCCTATCCTGCTATGCTCTCCTCATCATAATCATCATCATCATCATCATCATCATCATCATCATCATCATCATCATCATCATCATCATCATCATCATCATCATCATCATCATCATCATCCGCAGCAGCAGCAGAAACCGGATCATCATCAGCATCATCATCATCATCATCAGCAGCAGCATCAGCATCATCAGCATCAGCATCATCAATATCATCGTCAGTATCATCAGCATCAGCATCATCATCAGAATCGTCATCATCATCAGCAGCAGCAACATCATCAGCATCATCATCAGCAGCCGCAGCAGCATCAGCATCAGCATCAGCATCAGCATCAGCAGCAGCATCAGCATCACAATCAGCATCAGCATCAGCATCATCATCAGCAGCAGTAGCATCAGCAGCATCAGCAGCATCAACATCATCATAGCAGCATCTGCATCATCAGCATTGTCATCATCATAATCCCTGTCATCATCAGCATCGTCATCAGCATGAGCAGCATCATCATTATCATCATCCTCATCATCAGCATCCTCATCCTCATCATCTTTATCATATATTTCCCTCCTCCTCTTCCTCCTCCTTCTCCTAGTCCTCCTCCTCTTCCCCTTCCGCCTTCTCTTGTTCCTCCTCCTCCTCATCATCCTGATCCGCCTCGTCCTCCTCCCTCAATTCCCCCCATGTCATTCCCTCCTCCTCGTCCTCCTCCTCCTCCTCCTCTTCCTCCTCCTCCTCCTCCTCCTCCTCCTCCTCCTCCTCCTCCTCTTCCTCCTCCTCCTCCTCCTCCTCCTCCTCCTCCCTCTATTCCCCTCTATTCCCTCTACTCCCCCTCGTCCTCTCCTTCCATGTTCTCCTCGCCCTCCTCCTCCTCCTCCTCCTCATTCTCCTCCTCCTCCTCCTCCTCTCCTCCTCCTCCTCCTCCTCCTCCTCCTCCTCCTCCTCCTCCTCCTCCTCCTCCTCATCCTCCTCCCCCTGCTTTTCCTCCTGCCCCTTCTCCTTTTACTCCTCCATCTCCTACTACGCAGTCTCCTCCTCCATCCCCGAGCGCTCCACGCCAGATCGGCGGCGCCTTCTCCCTCACCTTCACTTCCACGCCCTCGGCCGAGGCCAGCTCGCGGACGTCCTCGGGGAGCGGGGGGAGGGCCTTCCTCCTCCGCTCCTGGTCTTAGATGTTGGGGGTGCTTCCTGTCGCAGAAACCCAGGCAGGCTGTGGCCCCCCGCCTGAATGCTGAAAAGAAAACGTTTGATGTGCGCACCCCCCGCTCGTATTTATCCAAGAACCTCTGGCCGATAAGCCTGCGAGGGAAGAAGAAGGCCTCCTCCCTCTCTCACTCCCTCCCTCCTTCCCTCCCTCCTCCGCCTCCTCCTCATCCTTTTCCTCCTCCTCCTCCTCTTCCTCCTCCTCTCCCTCCTCCTCTCCCTCCTCCTCCTCCTCCTCCTCCTCATCCTCCGCCTCCTCCTCCTCCTCCTCCTCCTCCTCCTCCTCCTCCTCCTCCTCCTGCTCTTCCTCTTCCTCCTCCTCATCGTCATCAGCATCAGCCGCATCATCATCATCATCACCATCACCATATCATCATCACCATCATCGTCATCATCAGCATCATCATCATCATCATCTCTCATCATCATCATCATCATCATCATCATCATCATCATCATCATCATCATCATCATCATCATCATCATCATCATCATCATCATCATCTCATCATCATCATCATCATCATCATCATCATCATCATCATCATCATCATCATCATCATCATCATCATCATCATCATCATCATCATCATCATCATCATCATCATCATCATCATCATCATCATCATCATCATCATCATCATCATCATCATCATCATCATCATCTCATCATCATCATCATCATCATCATCATCATCATCATCATCATCATCATCATCATCATCATCATCATCATCATCATCATCATCATCATCATCATCATCATCATCATCATCATCATCATCATCATCATCATCATCATCATCATCATCATCATCCATCCTTAGCAGCAGCAGCAGCAACAACACCCATCACATCAACAGCAAAGGCAGCAGCAGCAGCAGCGGCAGAGTGCACTGTTCCTCCCATTTTGTTTTACGACGATGAGCACACAATGTTGCGATAGAATGTGACACGTGCATACCAGACAAATGTGCAAGCGCCAGAATGTGTTCGCTCCCTGATAATATGTTGTGTCAAACCATGTTGTGGTGTTGGGTCCTCGGGCCGGGGGTAGTAACCGCCTGAGCGCGGCCGTGAGTAGATCGTTGCCTCCGGGGTTGGCCCAACGGCTTGCTCCCGCGCCCCAGCGGCTCGCGCGGTTGCCCCAACGGCCTGGCCCGCGGGGTTGTCCCAACGGCCGCGCGACGCGGCCATTCGAGAATGCGCCCGCGCTGGCCGAGGCCCCATCGGCGTCGAGGAAAATCGACGCGCGCGCTCTTGCAATAGACAGGAGGGGAGGTAGCGGGTGACGAAACAAACAGCAGGAGGGCGAGGCAAGGGCAACACGGTGAGCGGGTGAGCGCCCTGCGCCAGGGCGAGAATGAGAATGACGCAGAGAAGACAGCGCTTCGTGGTCCCATAAGGAGCTCCACCGAAGGCGCCACTGCCACCGTCCGCACGCGTCCCGAAACATCGAATTTTATATTTTCACCCACCCAGTACAGCGCTCCGTGGCCCCAAGGGGAGCTCCACCGAAGGCCCCAAAACCACCGTCCGCATGCGTCCCTAAACATCCCATTTGGCATTTTCACCCACCCAATACAACGCTTCGTGGCCCCATAGGGAGCTCCACGAAGGCCCCAGTGCCACCGTCCGCATGCGCCCCTAAACATCAAATTCGGCATTTTCACCCGCCCAGTACAGCGCTCCGTGGCCCCAAGGGGAGCTCCACGCAACCCTCAGTGCCACCGTCCGCACGCGTCCCGAAACATCCCATTTGGCATTTTGACCCACCCGATACAACGTTGCGTGATCTCCACCGAAGGCCCCACTGCCACCGTCCGCAAGCGCCCCGAAACATCCAATGTGGCATTTTCACCAGTACAGCGCTTCGTGGCCCTATAGGGAGCTCCACCGACGGCCCCAGTGCCACCGTCCGCATGCGCCCCGAAACATCCAATTCAGCATTCTCACCCACCCAGTACAACGTCTCGTGGCCCCATAGGGAGCTCCACCGGAGGCCCCAGTGCCACCGTCCGCATGCGTTCCGAAACATCCAATTTGGCATGTTCACCTAACAAGTACAGCGCTTCGTGGCCCCACGGGGAGCTCCACAGAAGGCCCCACTGCCACCATCCGCATGCGTTCCGAAACATCCAATTTGGCATTTTCACCCAGCCAGTACAGCGCTTCGTGATCTCCACCGAAGGCCCCAGTGCCACCGTCCGCATGCGCCCCGAAACATCCAATTTGGCATTTTCACCCACCCAGCACAACGCTTAGTGGCCCCGTAGGGAGCTCCACCGACGGCCCCAGTGCCACCCCCCGCGTGCGTCCCAAAAACCCAATTTGGCATTTTCACCCACCCAGTACAACGCGTCGTGGCCCCATAGGGAGCTTCACCGAAGGCCCCAGTGCCACCGTCCGCATGCGTACCGCAACACCCAATGTAGCATTTTCACCCACCCACATAGGGAGCTCCACTGGAGGCCCCAGTGCCAACGTCCGCACGCGCCCCGAAACATCCAATTTGGCATTTCCACCCACCCAGTACAGCGCCTCGAGGCCCCATCGGGAGCTCCACCGAAGGCCCCAGTGCCACCGCCCGCATGCGTCCCCCACACCGAATACAGCGTCTCGTGGCCCCGTAGGGAGCTCCACCGACGGCCCCAGTGCCACCGTCCGCATGCGCTCCGAAACATCCAATTGGGCATTTTCACCCACCCAGTACAGCGCTTCGCGGCCCCATCGGGAACTCCACCGAAGGCCCCAGTGCCACCGTCCGCATGCGTCCCCCACACCGAGTACAGCGTTTCGTGGCCCCGTAGGGAGCTCCACCGACGGCCGACGGCCCCAATGCCACCGTCCGCATGTGCCCCCCCCCAACCAATACAGCGCTTCGCGGCCCCATAGGGAGCTTCACCGAAGGCCCCGGCGCCACCGCCCGCACGCGCCCCCCCCACCCAGCACAGCGCTTCGTGGCCCCATAGGGAGGTCCACCGAAGAAGACATTCACAATTGCGGCACCCACAACTGCATATGGTTGGGCCCTTCGCCAGGATAATTTGCGTTCGCTTTGCTAGCACGCCGCGTAACGCAAGCCATGTGATATATTATGCTGCGTATTCCACGCACCTCGATTGGACTTCTTGTTCTTCTGACCCTTGGAGTTATGTAGGGCCCAAGGTTCGAGAGGACATAACTCTCGACTCGCTGATGCGCGAGCGCGATTCCAACGCCACGGAGCTGAGGCCCTCGGAGAAGAGAGGGGAGGGGAGAGAAGGCGCAGGAGAGAAAGCTTCCAGGCTAGTGCTTATCCTTACTGTCCTCGTCCTCCTTCATGTTTATCCTCCGGCTGTAGTAGTAGTAGTAGCAGCAGCAGCAGCAGTAGTAGTAGTAGTAGTAGTGGCAGTAGTAGTAGTAGCAGCAGTAGCAGCAGCAGCAGCAGCAGCAGCAGTAGTAGTAGTAGTAGTAGCAGCAGCAGCAGTAGTAGTAGTAGTAGTAAGTAGTAGTAGTAGTAGTAGTAGTAGTAGTAGTAGTAGTAGTAGTAGTAGTAGTAGTAGTAGTAGTAGTAGTAGTAGTAGTAGTAGTAGTAGTAGTAGTAGTAGTAGTAGTAGTAGTAGTAGTAGTAGTAGTCAGTCGTAGTAGTAGTGTGTAAGTAGTACGTAGTAAGTAGAAGTAGTAGTAGTAAGTAGTAGTAGTAGTAGTAGTAGTAGTAGTAGTAGTATTCGTATTCGTAGTAGTATTCGTAGTAGTAGTAGTAGTAGTAGTAGTCGTAGTCGTAGTCGTAGTCGTAGTCGTAGTCGTAGTCGTAGTCGTAGTAGTAGTAGTAGTAGTAGTAGTAGTAGTAATAGTAGTAGTAGTAGTAGTAGTAGTATAGTAGTAGTATAGTAGTAATACTAAGAGTAGTCGTAGTAATAGTAGCAGTACTAGTAGTAGTAGTAGTAGTAGTAGCAGCAGTAGTAGTAGTAGTTGTAGTAGTAGCAGTAGTAGTAGTAGTAGGAGTAGGAGTAGGAGTAGGAGTAGGAGTAGGAGAAGGAGTAGGAGTAGGAGTAGGAGTAGTAGGAGTGGGAGTTGGATTAGGAGTAGGAGTAGTAGGAGAAGTAGTAGTATTAGTGCTAGTAGTAGTAGTAGTAGCAGTAGTAGTAGAAGTAGTAGTAGTAGTAGGAGTAGTAGTAGTAGTAGTAGTAGTGGTGGTGGTGGTGGTAGTAGTAGTAGTGGTGGTGGTAGTAGTAGTTGTAGTAGTAGTTGTAGTAGTAGTAGTTGTTGTTGTTGTTGCTGTTGTCGCTGATGCCAGGCAAGCACCACGCCCCCAGATTCCTCATCCAAAGCGGGGGTGGTTAAGAACAGTTTCACACGTTCCCTACGTAACACACTCCTATCAGCCAAGGCAAGGACCTCCCCTCACGGGACCCCGCAAGACGCCGCACAGAACACAGCTTCCCCAACCTCCCCCACGTCGCATGGAGAGGCAAAATCCAGGCACTGTCAGGGCCAGTGCTCATAGATCATATCAATAAAAACCTTGGGCGTCCCCCAGCCAATGGAGCGGAAGCACGTCGCAAAAAAAGATTACGAGCCATGCCTTCAATGGGCAGCGCTTGGATTCCCTGATAACCAACAGTACGACCAGCTTCGGGGCGCCCGATGCGCACGACCCATATGGCTTGACCCAGGCTGCTCCAGCCGAGAAGTCTGGAATGCCTTTTTTGCGCCTGGCACAATCCAAGCTTTCTAGACACACGAAAAAGAACAAGAAAAGTTTCATCAAAGTCATGCCACGGGCGTGCAAGCAAGCACTCCAAGCCACGTTGCTCTTTGGACAGTATCAGCCACCATTCTGAAAATCGTACCTTTGTCAGCTTCACACAGTGTTATGGAACCCGTTATATGCGCGCGCCCCTAAGAGCTGCCTATACTCGGCCGTGTCCACAGAGGCCA